TGTGTATGGAAAAATGACAGAGCTTCCCTCAGCCTGACGGTGCAGGATAGACACTCTTCAGACCTGTTTGCTCACCCTCTACTGATACATAAGGAAAAAATAACTCCCACTGTGGCAAGCCTGTGACATTCTGGAGGTGATCCTAACAACCACTAATGTTACCCTATTTAATACCATCAGCCTGACACTCAATCACTTTGCTAAATGGCCTTTGTATAGGAGGACAACTGAAATGGAGCTCATACTTTTCCTCTCTACACCATCACTGCTGACTAATGTCTTGCTCTCTATTTTCTTGTGGGACAAGATGGCTGGGTTCATTATGACCATGAGGTAATTTGGGTAAATTACCTACCTCAGGCTCAGTTCTGTTGATGCCCGTCAGGAATAGGAGGTGGGCCAGGAAGAGGCAGAGGGAGAACTGTAGGTGGAGGGAGGTGCTGGTGTTCTGGATGGACCGGCACAGGAGGAAGGTGAGGATGGCCAGGAAGAGGCACAGCAGAGAGATGGCCAGTCCCACCTGGGTGATTACAGTCAGCACAGGGTCCTCCTGCAAAACACCAAAGGGGGAATCCATGATAGTGTCCAGTGGTGGTGTTATGTTCCTGAGGTAGTGTCAGATGGGCTTCCTCATTCCGTCCCTGAAACAATTGACTTTACCTCTCTGAGACTTAGTGTTCTCATCTTCAAAATGAGGGCAGTAATAACACTCATCACACAGGAATGTTAAAAACCGAAACAACTAGACCAGTGCTGGATATAGCTCTTAACAAATGACTAATGGGAGTTGGTGTATAAATACCCCAGCTCCCTTGCAGCTCAGATAGAATGACCCAGAGATGTGAGTTCTACACTGACTCCCAGAGTCCCCCAGAGGGAATAAAGTCCAGTTACCTATGGTGGTAACTGGCTTGATAATGCTGTCTGCACTGACATCTGTCTTACTTCCATCTCATTGTCTCAATCCCCCACTAGTGTTTCCTGTAATCTGCTTTCAAGTAAGCTACTACTATCTGACTCTTTGTCTTAGAATCTCTTTTTTTTCTTTTCTTTTTTTTTTTTTTTTTTTAATATGGAGTCTTGCTGTGTCACCAAGGCTGGAGTACGGTGGCACAATCTTGGCTCACTGCAACCTCCGCTTCCTGGGTTCACTCAGTTCTTCTCCCTCAGCCTCCTGAGTAGCTGGGATTGCAGGTGTGCGCCACCATGCCCAGCTAATTTTGTATTTTTAGTAGAGACGGGTTTTCATCATGTTGGCCAGGATGGTCTCGAACTCCTGACCTCAAATGATCCACCCACCTTGGCCTCTCAAAGTGCTGAGATTACAGGTGTGAGACACCGCGCCTGGCCTTTAGAATCTTTTTGTAAGAAATGCAGAGGATGACTCACAGCTTCCGGGACATACACAGGTTCACAGGAATTAATCTTGGTACCTTGGGGGCAAGAGCCACGAGGACGGCAAAGCTGGACAGATGGAAGCACTTGCATTTGGTGTAAGAGCCGTTGCTGCACACACGAGAGCAGCCCTCAGTGGACCAGCTGCCTCCCTCCAGTCCCTCCCAGTAGACACAGATATGTTTTGTTCTCTCGTCACCAGGCTGGAAAGAGAAGAGTATGAAAGTGGGTCTCTTCCTGGTTTTATTTTTTATTTTATTTTATTTTGAGACAGAGTCTTGCTCTGTTGCCCAGGCTGGAGTGCAGTGGTGCGATCTCAGCTCACTGCAACCTCCACCTCCCAAGTTCAAGCAATTATCCTGCCTCAGCCTCCCAAGTAGCTGGGACTAC